CCTCGGCCGCTGCCTGCCCCTGCCTGCGCCTCGGCGTCCTGCCTGCTGTCAGCGGAGCCTTTCCCGGGGAAAGGGCTGATCCTGCAGCCCCGCTGTGCCGGCAGCGAGGAGCACGCCGCCTCCCCAAGTGCGAGGATTTTAGGGGGGGAGACAGCTGTGCACTTGTTAGTTATTGCAACAACCCAAATTGATGACTTTTGTACTTGTCCTTTTTAGCAGAAATCCCCAAGACCGGTTCGAATGTGTTTAAATGAAATGGAAGTAGCATTCTCCTCTTCTTCAGTTTTAATTACAAATGGAGCTGCGCTTGGTAAAAATAATCACGCTTCTGCTTGTAACTAGGGATAGTGCGCTGCCTCGCAAGCTGAAACCTGTTTTGCTGTGGCCATGGTGCAGGGTCCGAGACTACGGATGCGATTGGGAATACTTTTGCAGAAAGCTGGGGGTTTTGTGTGGTTTTGTTTTGGGTTTTTTTTGTTTTTTCTTCTTTTTTCCCCATTTGTCAACTGATTTGGAGTTGTTTTGTTTTGTTTTGTTTTTAAGTATTCTGAGCAAAGAGCCCAAAGCTGTGTTAGACCTCAAGAAAAATGCTGCAAGGCCCATGTCAGGAGCTGACTCGTACCTGTGCCTTTTACGCGCGGACCCTCTGGCAGGGACCCAGACGACAACAGCGATACTCCCATTTGTGATTGATTGCAATATTTGTCATTTCTGTTAAGTAGTGAAATAGTGCTGTTGCCGCTAATCTTAAAAATATCAAATGGTTAAAAAACCCCCCCACAAACCTGCAGTAAATCCAGATGGTTACAGCAAAACACAAATGTTGTATTAGCCTTTTAAAATAGCGTAGTGTACTGATTACCTCTGATTAAAATAGAGTATGTGGACTAGTGGTGGGGTTTTTTTTTTTTTCATAGTGTATTTATTAAAAGACATGAGACTGGAATTTGTACCTCAACTGATGCATCTCATGATTTAATATATTCTGAACTTGATACTCCGCTACAAAACACTCACTTTTAGTACAAATAAATATTTATATGTGTAACTAACTCTCCCTTTGCAGGTTTTTTTTGAGGGGGGGGGGGGAATTACAGCGAT